TCAGTTAGAGAACCATTAGAAAACCAGCAAGGAGTACTGGACAGCCAGCTGTTTCATCCTAGTTCGGGAATCATCGACAGTAAGCACTCACCACCAGGGTTCGAACACAGGACCGCCCAGTTACAAGGCAAGCTAGCTCGTATACCATTCAGCCACTGGGACCCGATTCAATGGCCAGTTCATGCACTTTAACTCCTACCAATTCGTGATATGGCGCGACCTCAACCAATGTCATCAGTAGGACATCCATTCTCACACGTGACTGAATGGACCTGACTGGTCACGACTTCTCACTAGAAGAAATCCAGGAAACTCCATCCTGTAGCAAGTCACTAGCAAGCATCAGATTAATTCTCTATAGTTGGTTTGTAAAGATAAGCTTTGTTTTTACGAGTCGATTATAGATTGATATTAGTTGCTAGAAGTTAGAATCCATGGGCTGGTCATTAAAAGAGTCGAGTCCCAGTGGCTGAATGGTATACGAGCCAGCTTGCCTTGTAATCGGAAGGTTCTGGCTTCGAACCCCAGTGGGTGTGTACTACCGATGATTCCCGAAAACTAGGATCACAAAACTAGGGTCACAAAGAATATTTCCAAAAGGCTGCAGACCTTTATTAACAACTGTCTTCGATCAATACTGAAGATCAGATGGCCGTAAAGAATCACCAACTATTGGAAACTATGGGAACAAACAAAACAAAACAAGAACCAATCGCCCAACAAATATGCAGGAGAAAGTGGAGATGGATCGGACACTCGCTGAGGAGACCGCTGGGTGACATCGCGCGCCAAGCCCTCGAGTGGAACCCGAAAGGGAAGTGGCGTGTGGGACGTCCAAGGGTGACATGGAGGAGATCGTGTGAAGAGGAGTTGAAAGAATATGGATTAACATGGATGCAGGCGAAAAGTATAGCAGAAGATAGAAGAAAATGGAGACGTGCAGTTGAAGCCCTATGTTCCACTAGGAACCCAAGGGAGCAATAATAATAGTAGGATGAAATAGCTGTCCAACACTCCGTGCTGGTTTTCAATGGTTCTCTAACTGTGCATCGGTGGTACAGTGGTTAGGATTCTCGCCGACCATGCAGCACATGGTCCAAGGTTCGATCCCCTGCCAACGCACACCTGATATCTATGGTGGGCCTGCGAAATTTGGGCTACCGATATCCATGCTGAAAATTCCATACTTGTACCAAAAATACAGTGTGGAATCAAGCTGTAATCAAAAATAAAAAATAATCCGTAATCAACTCGTAAAGTGATTTTACGTTGTGTCCCCCCCCCTTAGAAAGAAAAGTGAAGCTTCGCAATTCAACTATCGGTCTCATGGAACATTACAAACTATAACACCAATATCGTCGTCCACCAACCACACCTAAAAATCTGTCAGCATTCCATAGACAAATTATTCATGCCATTTTGTTGATCCAAAGATTTCGACTAATTTACAACTCGATTGACAAAACACGTAAACATGTGATTATCACAATAAGACTTGTCTCCCTTCTTGTATACCGGGATAATCTATGACCAGTCCAACGGGACTATCTCTGATTCCCAGACGTTGCCTAATACTACAGTTTAACCCAGGCAGTGAGTTGTCTCCACCGTCCTTAAAAACCTCTGGAGTCTTGCCATCAAGTCCCACTGCTTTGCCTCGTTTCAGACTAGTGATAGCTTTCGTAACTTCAGTTAGGGGTGGACGATTGGTGTTTATATCCAATTCAGGGAGGTGTTACCTGTTGGGTGGCTGTAGGTTAGTTAAGTAACTCCTCAAAACGTCCCTTCCGATGTCCTAGTCCTGTATCAAAAGAGCTAATTAAGGCGTCATTCATCTCGGAGACTAATTCAATCATCCATAGCTTTTTGCCACCGGTTTCCCTGATAAGTATGAATAGTTTTCTAGTGTTACGGATAGCTCATGCCTTTTCCATCTCTTTCGCTTTTATCATCCTCCTGCAGAGGATCAAACAAGCCCTGGATGAAAAACTTCGACTGGAACAGACTGGATGCAGGAGAAACACGTCATGTATTGATCAAATCGCCACTCTACAATTCATCATTGAACAAAGCTTGAAATGGCAGTCACCTCTCTATCTCAACTTCATCGACTTTGAAAAGGCCTTCGACAGCGTCGATCGAGAGGTCATTTGGAAACTACTTCGCTACTACGCGGGGTCCCATCGACAATTATACATCTCATCCAACAGTTATACGACAATGCTGCATGCCAAGTATTCTATAACGGAAAACTTACGGAAGCCTTCGAAGTGAGGACGGGAGTGAGGTAAGGCTGCCTACTATCGCCAATGATTTTCCTGGATGCAGTAGATTGGATAATGCGACAGACAACGTGCAATGAGGAAACAAGCATAAAATGGACTCACACAAAAAACTTGGAGTATCTGGACTTCGCCGATGATATATACATATGTCTGATTTCCCACAAACTGGAAGATATGCAAGTGAAAAGCAACAAGCTGGCAGAAGAAGCATCAAAGATTGGACTTCAGCTGAACATAGATAAAACAGAGGTGATGAAGATTCTTGGCCAACACCAACAGCAGCAACAACAACAGACAACGATCAGCACAAATGGGAGGAACCTGAAGGAAACAACCTCCTTTACCTACCTGGGAAGCATCGTTTTAACTACAGGCGAATGGAACTGACGAGGATATCAAAGTAAGAATCGGAAAAGCAAGAAAAGCTTTTATTACTCTCAAGTCAGTGTGCAGGTCAACACTCAACATGAAAAATACGATAAGGATTTTGAACTACAATGTGAAGTCAGTGCTCCTTACTATACAGATCAGAGAGTTGGCGCATCAAGAAGACCACTTGGAACAAACTACACACTTTCATCAACAGCCAGCTGTCTTCGCTCAATACTCAAGATCAGATGACCAGAAAAGATCAACAACAAGGATTTATGGCAATGAGCGAACCAGGAACCGATTGTGAAACAAATAGGCAGGAAGAAATGGAGATGGATTGGCTGGCCATGCTCTTAGGAAACAAACGATCAAGTGAGTGACATCACTAGACAAGCCATTGCTCGAGTGGAACCCGAAAGGGAAACGGCGAGTTGATCGTCCAAGGGTGAGGGTGACTTGGAGGAGGTCATGTGAAGAGGAGATGAAAGCATGTGGGCAGACTTGGAGCGGGGTGAAAAAGTCGGCAGAAAACCGAACGCAATAGAGACGTTTGGCTGAAGCCCTATGTTCCTCTAGGAATTAAAGGATATAACAATAATAATAATAATCATAATAATTGTTCACGGTCGTTGAGAAGACTATTTGTCAGTGTGAATTCGACCAGCTTTCGCTCCTCATCATATTCGGAGCTCGCCGAAATCAGTCTTCTTGCCCTAATCAGACCGCATGGCTTTTACTAACTTTTAGTTTTTGGGTTAATTTAACAGCCTTTACACAGCTATACTATACTACCTTATGTCTGATCAAAGTATACAGTCCTACAGAAAGTGTTAATCACCAGTCCAAGTATAGCTCAGTAGTGGTGAACACACACACACACTCTCTCTCTCTGTCTCTCTCTCACACACACACACAAGCGAGATGGCAACTTCCTTTAAGATTGGACATACACGCCATGCTGACAGGCAGTGAGTGCAGACAAACCCGACCGAAACCTAGGTCATCACAAAAGTGGCTTCCTGGAGATCAACCCCCACTTCACACACACACACCTCCAACCATCATCTAACAACAAGTTCATCTTTATCTCATTGACAAACCACTTACTTCGTCCTGAGTAATTTACACCTTGAGACTAACAAAAACAAATACAAAAGTCGTGACCAGTAGGGTGCAGCAGGCGGGTGTGAGGACAAATACTCGCCGAAAACATTGGATAGTGGTCGCGCTATGTCGTGAATTGGCAGAAGTTAGAATTCAAGGACCATTGGATCGGGTCCCAGTGGCTTAATGATATACGAGCTCGCCTTGTAACCGGAAGGCCATGGGTTCGAATCCCGGTGAGTGCGTACTGATGAAGAGTCCCAAACTAGGACGAAACAGTGGTCCAGTACTCCCAAGTTTTCCAGTAGTTCTCTAACTAATGTCAGCTCATGATGAAATCCTGAAAAATACAAAATACATGGACAACACAAGTGAAGAATGTGGTGACAATAGTACTCAATAAAAGTGTATTCACATAAAACACTACAACTTCTCAATTCAGGCAATACAACACAACACAACGCATACACCGACATGCAGTGAACAGATGGACACATTTTGATGAATAAAAAAACCAACAACCAAAGAAAAATCTCATTTGGAATGCTTTCTTTAAAAAAAAACAATATTAATATACGAAGAAGATGTAGCACAAGAAGAAAGAACATAAAGTGTGATATGGCTACCACACATTGTAGCACAATTCACATTGATAAGTGAACTGTATCACTGTTATTATGCATTAGGTATATGTATATAATAAATTCAACAGAGAACCAAGTATATAATATAATAACAATTTCCATTAAATATAAATAAGTGAGAAAGAACATTTTGAAGTGGAATAATTTTATAGTAAATTATAATACCCTCCGCCACCCACGCCACCGCGAGAAAGTAATAGTGAAATCACTCCTGGGTAGTAGTATAGGTAGTATGCAACTAACTAATTAACTACTACTCACCCCCCTAATCAGTAGTATAAAATTTTGTATGAAAGTTTTGATTATTAGAGATCAATCATGATTAATCGTGATCAAAGTATGTCAAACAAATGAGGAAGAGAAGAAGAAAAAGGGATAAATTAAACAGAGTAATGAATGAGAAATATAAATTTCGGAAGTGTTTTTTTCTGTATGCTTGATTACTTCAATGCAGAGTAAATTTAATTAAGTGCATGCGTGTGATAGGTAGATGTGAGGGCGGGGCGGGGCGGGGCTACACAGAGGAGGTTGTAGTGTAGACAAAAAACTACACAGAAATTCCTCCAACGTTTCTTCAACAATACATATCTTTGTATTAACCTTTATCGGAAATCTTCTTCCCAGAAATCTGAAAGAAAAAATAACCAAATCTTTTTACAGGCATAAATACACATCTCACATCTGGCATCAATTTCAAACAGAATAATGATAAAATTTAATTGAATTTTTGATTTTTCCCATCGATTGGTTGAACCAAAGTGCTCGGTCTCAGGCTGACATGTCGGTCGGCTTCTTGTGCAGATGCTTCAACGATGTCTGGGCATTTAATTAGTATACAACTGGTGGATGGTGACTAGCAGTGGAATCCAGGATAATGCGCATTTCGTCCTATTTGGGACTCGTCCTCAGCTGGATGTACCTGCATTTCTCAGTGAGTGAAGACATGTCAACCTGAGACCGAGCACTTTAAATCAAAAATTCAATTAAATAATTAATATGACCCGTTGCACAAGAGGAAGCTCTGGTGGCTCAAGCGACCTAGTGGATAACGCTTTGGCGTTTGAAACTATGGTTTATTTTATCATTATTTAAACGCATAAAAACTTGGTACAATATGGCACCAAGAAGGATGCGCCACACAATAATAATAAAACAACATAGATCAAAAGAAAAAAGAAAGAAGAGAAAAATATATATAAGTAGAGAATGGATAAAGAACTTCATCTGGAAGGAAAACAGTCATGCTTAACAAGTTCATTCAAACAGTATTCGTTAACTATCATAGGGAAGGGAAGAAAGAAGGAACTTGCAACACGTGTAATAGCACGCGTAAGTTTCATTGATTGTTTGTTGCTTCATTCAATTCATTGTGTGAGGACTGAGATACTGCCCGGGCGCCCAGACCGAAGCAGGTGGTTTTATTAAGGGACCAATTCCCGAGCCTCTGACTTGGAGTCGAATCCGCAAGGCAGCGGAGCAGCGTCAGGAGCTGAATTCCTATGGTTTCCGGTGACCCATATGGGTTCATACGCCACTTGATCCGATTGGATTCTGGAGCCCATGTACCCCATGGTAACTGCTTTCAGTTTAACTGCTATCCAAACAACCTTCCTGACATGGTAGGACTTGCAGGCACAGAGTCCCAGTCAGTCTAGCATGTTGGGTCATTACGGTATTCAAGCCCGACCACCACGACAAGATAGCAGTTATCGACCGGGATGAAACTATGAGCACTGGGTTCGAGCCTCAGTGGGAACATCATCACTCACTGAGAAATGCAGGTACATCCAGACACCAACGAGTCCCAAATAGGACGAAATGTGCATCCTGGTAAAAGGATTCCACTAGGTTGACAAATTCACACCCCCCCAGCTGTGTTGACTTCCCTATCTAAGGAAAAAGTGGAGTGGTAACGTCTCTGATTGCCGTACTGGGTGACACGGGTTTGAATCTCAGAAGAGACATAAGTTCCTTCGAGACTGAACATACGCTGCCTCGTTGACTGGAGGCCATCGTTGCCCTCAACCATCTAACACAAACAATTCAAAGGGCAGTGCACCGTGATGGCGAGCGAGCCTCCTAGCAAACCTGACTGACAGATTTCAGTTTGGATATGACTGGAAGATTTGTAGCTCAGATGGATGATTTTGATTTCTTATCAACCGATAAGAAAGAAACCTCACACACAAAGGGTCAAAGTTCAAGTCAAAGAAACAATCAGTTCCAATACAAGTAGCTGCCTAGAAGGTGTGAAAACACACAAAAAAACCAATCACGTCTAAGGACACCCACCAGGAGAGATGATTAATAAACTCGTGGAGAAATCGAAAAGCTCACTTCAATTCAAATTGAAGTATGAACTGAAGATGTCGACTAGTAGGGAGGGCGATGAAGGCTTCGCAAATTAGCTATCCAGCCAGCTCAGAGAACACAACCACATTAAGATTTCAGTTTGCACCAAACAAAGGATTAGACATATTACACTAGTTACTAACTAGTGTCCAATCAAAATAACCTAAGGTTATTTTGAAGTACGAACTCAACTCTAACAACCTACACAAATAAAGACATAGAAAGGGGAAGATCCATCATTTCAACTGTGGAAAACCTCAGTCACGTCAACTATTCTTCAAACATATAACATTCAACAGTTTTTACATGAAATCAATCAATAATTAGGCCTATACACGCCTTTACACAACTCCAATGAACAACTAACAGATGTAAAGGATCATTGGGTTTGGTGACATCGTTATCCTGGTAATTCCTCAGTTTATCCGTACGCTTGTTAACACCACTATAGACGCCCCCGTACGATTGACGGTGAGTAGACTTTGATCTTCCTCTCAAAAAGCTCGCATGTATCCATGCCACACCCTCATAGCCACTGCCAGATAAGTCATATATTCCGACTTCGCGCGGCGGCGGGGATATTCCTCACAAAAGTGAAACGGCGAATACAAAGGTGTGGTGCTTGCGACCGGACTGGTAGACATGATGGTTTATCTACCTGTCGTGAGTACATGGACTCCAGAGTCCGAGAGGATTGAATGGAGTACGTAGATGTGGTTTAGTCGCCGGAAACAATAGGCACGTGGCAACTGATGTTGATCCACTGCCTTGTGGGATTAGATTTGAAGTCAAAGGGTCAGGGATAGGGGTGACCCGCTTGGGAAGACCACCTGCTTCGTCCTGGGCAATAGAGCAGTATCCAAGCTCCGGTCCAAACTGCTAGATTCTGTATGGTCCATAATACACCAAGCTTGTGTTTTAATAACCATAGTAATAATAATAACAGGTGGTGATGCTACAGGAAGACTTACATGCCCTAAATACCTAAAACCATAGTATGTTTTCGAAAGTTTTTGGTGATATATACCCTTTACCCTTCAAATCCTTTAATATGTTTGTTATTTCTCTCTCTCTCTCTCTACTTTCTCCGTATGATCTTTCACTGCTTTCGGCTTCTGAAACTTGCTGCCGTCAGTTAGTATGGAGTTCATCTCGTTGATGTAGTCCTGCCCCTATCCATAATTACAATCCCCCGTCCCTTATCCGGTCTGGTAATAACTATGTTTTCATTTTGACTTAGTCTTTTAACAGCTTCTCGATGCTCTTTTGTGAGTATACTATGAGGCTTATTCTTATCCTTTTGTCTATACTGACTGATAGCAACAGTCTACCAGGGTTGATTTGAATCTTTCTAGGTCCTCATCAGAGGAGGTGACCAAGTCCCCTGCTTGTATATAGAAGTTCTCGAACTGTACATCGGTGTCAGTCTGACTAATCTCCGTACGAAAATCGCAAAACTTGGGTCCTGGAGATAAAGCTTCACGTTGTAGTTTGTCAAGAGTCACGCTAGAAAAGTTATGGACGTACCTTTCTGGATTAGCAGGAATTATACATTCGGGGTTCGGCTTTCTAAGCCTTTCATCAGTTGTGTTCGTTTTTTCAAGGAATAAGATTCGGCGATTTCATCGACATATTCCATAAATTGTAGTCTCATATCCTCTGAAAGGTCGAGAAGTGCATAACTTTTGTCATATATTTAATTCCATTTGTGTGATGTCAGACTGTATTGGTTCCAGCTAGAAAGATTCAAATCAACCCTGGTAGACTGTTGCTATCAGTCAGTATAGACAAAAGGATAAGAATAAGCCCCATAGTATACTCACAAAAGAGCATCGAGAAGCTGTTAAAAGACTAAGTCAAAATGAAAACATAGTTATTACCAGACCGGATAAGGGACGGGGGATTGTAATTATGGATAGGAGCAGGACTACATCAACAAGATGAACTCCATACTAACTGACGGCAGCAAGTTTCAGAAGCCGAAAGCAGTGAAAGATCATACGGAGAAAGTAGAGAGAGAGAGAGAGAAATAACAAACATATTAAAGGATTTGAAGGGTAAAGGGTATATCTCACCAAAAACTTCCGAAAACATAAAACCCACAGGTAGCACCATCTCACGTATGTACGGTCTAACGAAAGTGCATAAAACCATATTACACCTTAAGCCCACCAGGTGACCTAATAAACATCATAGATAGTTACAGCACAAAACATAAAACACGGCGCGTTCATCTCTAGTTATATAAGCATTACTTACCTGAAGAATAGCCACAATGATACCAAATAAACCAATAGCACTACCGAATATCTCCACAACGAGTATTTTAACGAATAAGGCAGAATTTGCCGCGTCCGCCAAAGCTGCACCTGAACCAACCATACCAACACAGACACCGCATATCAGATTACAGAAACCGACAGTCAGACCAGCTGCAAACATTGAAAAACCAGCTCGATGTGCTTGACGAATTATGCTCTCGCTAGCGCCAACTGGATTGTAAGACTATTTACAGATACAAATATAAGAAAAGTGATATATATATATATATATATGTTAAGCGTTTATGATTATTATAAAATTTGTTGACTCACTATATGAAGTAGGCAGTGCAAAGCTGCTTTGGTAATTTATGAAACAGGTTGACCAATAGATTCTATATGTGCTGAGGCTGTGAAGTCATATCGATCGAGATGGTTAGGATATGCGTTACGCATGTCTAGCCACCTGTGCGTCAGTGGCATATCGGTTAGGACGCTCGCCGACCATACACATGGTCCGGGGTTCGATCCCCGGCCGACGCACTCCTTTACCTCGCTAAACCAGAAATAATGCTGGTAAAGAGGAAAGGTTGGGCATGAGGCTAGCAACCCCATCCTGTAAAAATAAACATCGCTGCTACAGAAACTTCAAGCCATTAGCTTGAAGACCTATGTTCCACTGGGAATGTGAAGGACAAAAATAAATAAATAAAAAATAATCAGGTTAGGCGTCGAGTGCTAAGTAAGGAGGGGAAATCAATCAACGAGACTGTGAAGCTACATCGGTTGAGATGGTTAGGACATGTGTTACGCATGCATTTCTAGTCATCGCCTTCCTCGACGGGCACTGTTAGCTGACTGATATAGGGTCAGGCTGGAAAATAACTACAAAGTGGTGGTCAAACCAAAACATGGCACCAGTCAATCAAATCCATAACAGTTAGTTTAAGCCACATGGGGACGTGTAGATTCGCTGGCTGGTTGGGGTCCTCCGGACGGTAAACACCAATGGCTGGAAACAATTGGTGATATGGCTCAAAATCGTCCTCGATGATGGCGCAGGTGCATCCGCTACTTGTGACTTATGATTTCCAATGAAACTGTTTTGTTCTTCGTTATTACTATTCCTTTGTTTCACACCTCTGTTTACTGTTTCTATTATGCATTTCTCCTACTTTCTTCTCTTGCACTGTGCTACATGGAGTGTGGCGACTTGAACTGCCACATATATGTGCAAAGTTCTATGTCGAAAGCAGACAGACAGTACACTTGAGGAAGGAGTAGTCACAAATCAACACACCATGAATGTAAACTATTATTATCATTATGATTACTATAATGTCTTGTAGGAAGCACAATGATCTCCACTATGTCTAATATACCACATATAAATAAAGCATGAATAAACGTTTCCGCTGATTATATTTATCTCATACATACTTCATCCAATCTTATACAAACATATTAACAAGGGAAAAAATGACTGAGCTAAGTGTTCAACTTACTCCGATTTGACTTAGCATAACAATCGCTGTAATGATTCCATAAATGGCGACAGCTTCACAAAAAATAATACTGACCAAATTTTTTGTCCGGATACGAGGTGCTTTAACAGCAGCTCCCAGAATACTAGAGCCGGTTATATAAATACCCCTGGAAAAAAAACGAAAAAGAAGACATACATCATCAGTTACTGTAGATTAGAAACTAAAACGTGTGCAAATAACTTCACCACCGAAATATGCAATTTTATAAGGGTGCTTATGAGGTTTAATTGAATTTTAGATTTTCCCGTCGATTGATTGAACCGAAGTGCTCGATCTCAGGTTGACATGTATGTCGGCTTCTTAAGCAGATGCTTCAACGATGTCTGGGCATTCAATTAGTATTTAGTTGGTGGATGATGACTAGCAGTGGAATCCAGCATGCACATTTCGTCCTGTTTGGGACTCATCATGTGGACGCACATCTCAGTAAGTCATGATGTTCCCACCGAGGCTCGAACCCAGTGCCTATAGTTTCAAACTCCAAAGCGTTATCATCACTCACTGAGAAATGCAGGTACATCCAACTGACGAGTCCCAAACAGGACGAAATATGCATCCTGGATGATTCCACTGCTAGTCACCATCCACCAATTAAAATGCTTATAAGGTTTGCCTATAACTAAGGTTTCCTACGGAACAAGCACAATTTTAAAACGTTGAAAAACCATCTTAAAGATTTTCACGTGAATATTATTAGTGTTAAAAATTATTTTAGAATTTCAGCTTATTTCTAATGCCGGAGACTAATCTAGAATCCAGAAAAACATGTATCATAAGGGGTTGATGCAAACATTTGCAACTTTTTAAATTAGAACATCTTAAATCTTGTCATACATTCATAGGTCGTCTACGATGGAGTCGAATAATAAATAATGTCAGATAAGCAACGAATGATTTCCCCTCTTTACCCAGCAATCGACGTCTAATCTCTACATTGCTCACTCTATTAAACCACTTCACAAGGGAGATAGAACGCAGACACCTATGATCAAAGACAGTCAGCCAGCCAGACTTTTCATGTCTTCAACTCTCAGTGGCCATGTCTCACTCACAGCCATAAAGGAGGACGGAGACGACTGATTAGCAGTACGCACGCCCTTTGGTTGGTAGCCAGCTGCATATCACGTCTACGCCAGAGACAGGGAAAACTAGCATATATGAAACTAGCTTTCTGTATTCGTGATGAGATTTTGTCAGCGATCAACCCGCTGGCACTGGCTGATGCAACCTCCCACTTCACTTCCTATTTTTAAGCTAGAAGTGAATCAATTTAGTCCAGTCCTGTAGCATCATCTTACATTTGGTGGGGGCGAATCGCATGCCAAACGTTCGCAGATTGCAACTCAAGGTCTTCAGAAGGCTGACTTTGGTCAGCGTCTCCACCCAGAAGGACTATATCATCTGCATATTCTAAGTCAACGAGATTGTATCCTGGTAACAAGTCAGTCCCTGATACTAATGTCAAACTTTGTAAGTTGAACTAATGAGTATCAGCACGATTAAAGATTCTTTCACACAACTTAGAGAATTGGTTCTCTCTTCATACGTGAGGTTACGTCACACAACATATATATATATATATATAACTAATATCAAGCTTTGCAAGTCTTCCAAGGTGACTGAAAACAAGTTAAATCTACTGTTAGGACTGTAGTTAGTAATAATAATGATAACCTTTACAATGCAGCCAATATGTGGAAACATTGTAAGAAATTTTTCAGCATATTCAGTTCCAGAATATTTCCTCTTCGCTCAAGATTTGTGAATATAAAGTAACAGTCAGAAGTACATTCTATGACGTAACCACACACGCATATGAAGAGAGAACCAATTCTGTGAGTTGTTTGAAAGAATCCTAAATAGTGTTGATACTCACTAATTCAAGACTTATAAAGCTTGATATTTGTGTCAAGGATTGACTTGTTACCAGGGAATGATCTCGTTGACCTAGAATATGTAGATGATGTAGTCCTCCCTCCTAGATGAGGAGGATGCTGACAAAATAGAGCAGTCTTCTGAACACTGCAATCTATGAATATTTGGCATGCAATTCGCTCCCACCAGATGTAAGATGATGCTACAGGACTGGACTACATTGAATCACTCCTAGCTTAGAAATAGGATGTGAAGTGGTAGTGCGCATTCACCACTTCACTTATTTGGGAAGTTGCATCAACCAGCGCCGACGGGTTGATCGCTGACAAAATCTCAAAACAGATACAGAAGACCGGTTTCGCATATGCTAGTTTTCGCTGTCCCTGAAGTAGACGTGATATACAGCTGGCTAACAACCAAAGGGTGTGTGTACTGCTCATCAGTCCTCTCTCTGTCCTCCTTTATAGCTGTGAGTGAGACATGGTTATTGAGAGTCAAAGACATGAAAGGCCGGATAGCTGTCCTTGGTTATAGGCGCCTGCGTTCTATCTCCCATGTGAGGTGGTATAATAGGGTAAGCAATATTGAGGTTAGGCTTCGGTCGAGTGCTAGGTAGGTGGTAGGGGAAATCACTAGACGAGGCTGTGAAGCTACATTGACTGAGATGGTTAGGACATGTGTTGTGCATGCCTTGCCACCGTCTTCCTCGACAACGGGCAATGTTAGCTGATTGACATAGAGCCAGGTTGGAAAAGAGCCAGTGGTGGTCAAACCAAAACATGGTTTCATCAGTCAATGAAATCTACAACAGTTAGTCTAAGCTAGTCAGCCACGCAGGAAGGTGTAGACTTCTTAACTGGCTGGTTGGGTTCCTCGGGACAGTAAAAACCAATGAAGGCTGGAGACAATTGGTGATATGGCTCAAACTCATCGTTCTCGATGATGGAGCAGATGCATCCACTCCCTGTAACTTATAATTTCTAATGAAACTATATTGTTCTTCGTTATTACCATTCTTTTTGTCTCATATCACTGTCTATTGTCTCTATTTGCATTTCTTTTTACTTTCTTCTCTTGCTTAGTGTTACATGGTGTGGCGACTTGAACTGCTGCATATCGGTGCAAAGTTCTATGTCGAAAACAGACAGATATTAGTGTAGCAGTTCAGTTTTAATACACCTAATTATTGCAAGTGGATTATAAAATTAGAAAATGAAACTGATATTAAGATATGGAATACCGTAAATAGTAACGATGATAGGTTAGTACTACATGACGATCTAGATAAATTAGCCGAATAGGTTAACCTCTGGAGTCTGGAAATTAATTCCAAGAAAAGCGCGGTAATGCACCTAGGACAGAGGTTTTACACGTCGTACTTTCTGGGGACATAGAAGTACCACATGCTAAGGGACAAAAAGACTTAGGAATTATTGTAAGCCATGACTTAAAAACAACGGCAAATTGTAATCGAACCGCAGCTAAGGCTTTTCGGATGCTATGGGCACTTCGAATAGCTTTCAAACGCTTAGACGAGTCTATGTTCTCCACGCAACACATATCAAACCTCATCTAGAATACTGCATAAAAGCGGCGATTCCATGCTTTAAAAAGGAGGCACATCCTGGAAAGAGTACAGAGGGTAGCAACGAAATTAATTACTGGTATCTCACACCTTCCTTATGACATGAGGATGGAGCACTTAAATTTCTTCCCACTATCATACCGAAGGAGGAGATGCGACTTCATTTTGGCTTGCCGTATATTCAAGGTTGATTTAAGGATTGATCTTTCAAACCTTTTCTCTTCCTCTAGGATACATTTACGAGGTCACCACAGGAAGGTGCTCACACCGAGGTCGAATAGAATACGTGTGGAACTTAGATTCTCTTACAGAGTGGTCGGCGACTGGAGCTGGTTCAGTAGTAACAGTTCCATCGGTGAACGCTTTCAAAGAGAAACTAGAGCTCTGCAGTTATATATCGAAAGGATTAGTATAGATAACAAGAGCCTTCTATCCTTATACTCTGAATCTGAACAAAATATGAGATCACAGTGAAAAGCCTTGAGTAAAATTCAATAGCTCGTAGGTAGTGTGCCTTCAGGACACTACGACAGATTCAAAGCAATCTGTCTGTTTGTCTGTCTGTTTTCGACATAGAACTTTGCACAAATGTGCGGAAGTTCAAGTCGCCACACTCCGTGTAGCACGCGAAGCAAGAGAAGAAAGTACAAGAAAAGCATAATAGAAACAGTGAGCAGAGGTGTGAGACAAAGTAATAAAGAAAAACAAAACAGTTTCATTGAAGATCATAAGTCACAAGGAGTGGATGCATCTGCGCCACTGAGAACGATTTTGAGCCATGTCACCAATTGTTTCCAACCATAGATTTTTACCGTCCCGAGGACCCCAGCCTGGAAGTCTACACCTTTCTACGTGGCTTAGACCAACTGTTGTGGATTTCATTGACTGGTGACCAAGTTTTTGTTTGACCGCCGCTAGCTTTTTTCCAGCCTGACCCTATATCCGCTAACATTGCTCGTCGAGGGAGGCGATGGCTTGGCATACGTAACACATGTCCTAACCATCTCAGTCTTTGTAACTTCACGACTTCGTCGATTGATTTCCCCTGTTTACCTAGAACTCTACGCCTAACCTCAATGTTGCTCACCTTATTATGCCACTTTACACGGGAAATAGAGCGCAGGCACCTATGATCAAAGACAGCTAGTCTTTTCATGTCTTCCACTCTCAGTGGCCAGGTCTCACCAAGCTATAAAGGAGGACGGAGCGGACTGATGAGCAGTACACCCGCCCTTTGGTCGATAGTCGAACATCTCGTCTACGCCAGAGTCGGCGTAAACTGGCAAATGCGAAACGAGCCCCTTGTATTCGTGCTGAGATTTCGTCAGAGATCAACCCGTTGGCGGCTGATGGTACTTCCCAAATAAGTGAAGCGGTCAACGTGCTCTACCACTTCACTTCCTATTTTTAAACTAGGCGTCGATGTAGTCCAGTCCTGTAACATCATCTTGCATTTGGCGGGAGCGAATCGCATGCCAAACATTCGTAGATTGCGGCTCAAGGTGTTTAGAAGACTCTGCATTTCGTCAGCGTCTTCGCCTAGAAGGACTATATCGTCTGCATATTCCAAGTCAACGAGATTATTCCCCGGTAGCAAGTCAATCCCTGAGTCGCTGAAGTCACCTAGGGTTAAGTCCATTAACACATCTATGATGAAGTTGAATAGAAAAGGGATAATGGGCATCCTTGACGGACACCACTGGTCGTCATCAGTTCAGATGACAGCTCGCCGTAAGCCCTCACCTGGCTGTATGAGTACGAGTAGAGTGCCTTAATCAGTGCAATATATTTTCTCGGAATTCCCTTTACAGCCAAGCATCTCCAGAGAACTTCTCGATCGACAGAGTCGAATGCTGCCTTTAGGTCAAGAAATATAATGACTGTTGGACGCCGGTAGGAATGCCTATGTTCTAGAATCTGTCGGAGGGTGAAGATATGATCAATACACCCTCTTCCTGGTCTAAAGCCTGCCTGGCTCTCTCGTGTTTGTGCCTCCCGAGCACCACTCAGTCTACGCATGATTATTGAGCCTAAGACTTTAGATACTATATTAGTCAAGCTAATCCCTCTGTGATTATCACAGGAAGACTTGTCTCCCTTCTTGTATATGGGGATAATCAGTGACTTACACCAACCCGATGGGACTTCTTCTGATTCCCAGACGCTGCCTAGTACCTCAGTTAATCCAGACAGTAAGCTGTCTCCACCGTACTTAAATACCTCTGGAGTCATTCCATCAGGTCCCGCTGCTTTGCCTAGTTTCAGATTGGTGACAGCTTTAGTAACCTCAGTTAGGGATGAGGGACCTGTGTCTATATCCCATTCAGGGAGGTGTTGGATGCTCGGAAGGTTGAGCGTGGCTGTGGGCAAATTAAACTGCTCCTCATAATGCTCTTTCCAACGATCCAGTCGTCTATCCTGGGAGCTAATTATAGTGCCATTTTTTTCCGAGATTGTCTCACTAATGATTTGTCTTCTCCCACCCGTTTCCCTGATGAGTCTAAAGAGTTGCCTGGTGTTGCCTATCCTCGAAGCTTTCTCCATCTCTTTGGCTTTTGTCACCCACCACTGTTCACGGTCCTTGCGGAGACTTTTCGTAAGTTTCCTCTTGTGCAGCTTTCGCTCCTCATTGAATTCGGAGCTCGCCGGAATAAGTCTTCTAGCATCTATCAGTTCGGATGAGGCGGTGGAGATCCAGTGGTTTTTACTCACCTTTGGGTTTACCTTATTCACAGCTTTTACAGCTGTATCTATGGCTGCCTGGATATTTTTCCAAGCTTCTTCAGGGTGAGCACAGCTGTCGAACACAGATATGTGTTTAGCTAGTTCTTCCTCAAATACGGATTTAGTTTCCTGATCGAGCTGGGGACGTGATGGTTTTACCGCCAGCTGTTTCCTACGTCCGTTCAGTCGTAAGCACACCCGAGCGCGGACCAGTGTGTGGTCGGTATCTACACACGTGTTCCAGAAGGAGCGACAATCTTCTACCGAGCCATGCCAACGATAGCTTATTGCTATGTGGTCTATTTGTGTCCAGCGTTGGTTTGATGAAGGGGGTCTCCAAGTCAAACAGTGTCTCTCCTTGTGTTTGAAGTTAGTGCTTACAAGAAACAAATGATAATCAGAGCAGAACTGTAGGAGACGGTCACCGTTGTCGGTTCGCTGGCACGGGACTCCATAGGTGCCACCGACATCCTTCTCAGATTGACACAATTCCCCTACTTGAGCGTTAAAGTCACCAGCTAGAACGACTATGTCTGAGCGTTTAGCCTTTCGCACCAAACTAGACAGCTTTTGGTAGAACTCATCCTTCGTTTCATCTGAACTGCAGTCAGTGGGGGCGTGGGCGGAGATTAAGAAAAGGCATCGGCGAGTAGTGCAATCCTTTCTCCTTTTTACTGACCCGTTCAGACGGACAGCACACATTCGGCTATCTACCGGCTATCTATTCAAAGCAATATAAATTAGTCATATGCTACTGGGTCTAGTTGACATGTACAATTTAGCTATGTAGCGTACATTTCTCCATATACTTGGGATCGACTGTCGCGTTATTCTGATCTATTATTTTAAAAAGGTGAAATATTAAGGTAGGCAGTGTGTAGGAACATGCAGAAAATTTCCCTATCTCCTCAGTCTACAGATGTCTGAAGACAAATTAACTGCGATGAACCCTGTGTGAAGGTTTTACAAGCAAGAGTAATACAAACAGAACCAGTAAGTAGGTATTTTACTGGGCAGGAATGTATTGTATTGTTAAAAATCATAAATAATTCTGACTTTGGAGAAGGAAAACATAAAAAGGGCATTTTAGGACCATCCATTAAAGTGCTCACCAAGCAGCTCCAACGACAGACAAAGAGATAGCCAATCCAACACCCATTGCAGCCCATAGATATGGTGATGTTCCCGCCAAAACCCTAGGGAATATCACAATTACAATCGGCATACCATCCTATGTCGAATCTATGACCTTCACCGCTGAGAATGTAATAAAGACCTAATGAAATTAACAGTGAGTAAAGAAATGACAGTTACCGATTAGGATAAAAACGGAAATGGCAGTGTACACTGGTATATAATAGGCATTCAACCTGGTGCAGGCCATTCTGCAATAACTCAAGCTCCCCGCCTAATGAGTTGACCGATCTATTCAATATCCAACAGACGTTTGCGAGGTAAAATGAACTAAATTGACTTCTCTGAATTCACTTCGAATCACACATTCAAATATTCCGTGGTTTCTTGATAGGATAATTCCGTCACTCGACTGTAGTGACTTTGGTCAACTCCAAGGAGACTGATAGTCTTGATGAATTTATTTATTTATTTTATTTTTGATTTACAGCTTGATTTCACACTGTATTTTTGGTACAAGTATGGAATTTTCAGCATGGATATCGGTAGCCCAAGTTTTGCAGGCCGACCATAGATATCGGGTGTGCGCCGGTGTGGGCTCGAACCCCGGACCATGTGAATGGTCGGCGAGAGTCCTAACCACTGTGCCACCGACGCACGTGTTTAAAAACAGTGACAGTGTTGTGATAGAAGTTCGTTTGTTTTCCCATATTTTAAGAAAATAGAACAATTACGATCAGCAAAGTGTTAACGGGGAAACTGTGATAAAAAGAATGGATGAACAGGATCAGTGCGACAAGTAAGATAGTCGATGTCTAGTTGGTTAATAGTTAGGTCCAATTAGAAAGCCTAATTTTGTAAGGCACCATGTGGGGAATTACATTTTATCCCGGTCAGGTTTTAAGTCAAGTGTGAATAATCTGTCTTAATGCACGTTATGAGGGCGATATTTGTGGGCATAATTATTTGATTTTATTAGTTTATTCTAAAGCACTTCTTAATAGTGTATTTCATGGTAAACGACAGGAAGCATTATCGCATATTACTCTGCCGTTTTTTGTTCCTTATTTGTTATATCAGTGTACTGTAGACTTGATGATCAAACTCCTGTGTTATTGACTCCGCTGTGCTGGTTTATTGCTGATTGATCATTAATTTTTCAATTTTCCCCATCTGTCTTTTAATATTAGTCGCGTTGAACTCGAGCTTTTTAGTTAAAAATCTAAGTATTTTTCTTAATTCTGAAGATTCGTCTTCTCCCAACAGAAATCGTTCCTGATAGCGTTATTGGCATTGTCTGAATTGGTCACTTGCACCTGCTAAAAATCACCAGAATTAGATAGATCTCAGATAACGTTAGAATACACAACTTTTAAGGGATTAAATGCCATTTGGGCCTGGCTTATCCCAAAAGTGTCCACCTAAGATTCAAACACATTCATCGATTCAAGTGCCAGAGAAGACACATTGTTCAGGCCGTCAATAATTATTTCAATATTAGCCTACAACTTACCTAACTAAATAAACCACAGTATAATCCTTAGGATTTTCCTTATTAATAAAAACTGTCGTTTCTGTAAAATTTTATGCCAAGAGTTTGTGGAAACTATCACAATTATTTACCTTTCGAACACTGAATCCAAGAATACATTCTTATTGACAGATAATACATATAACTAACTATTTGGATTTGTGGAATTTTTAAACATAAACACATCTATAATTGTATATATTGTTGGATTTACATGTTCAAGTTGCTCCAAGTCAGTGAGTTTATGGTTGAGATATCATTCTAGTTAACCGTGCTGAACTATATTGCATGTTGTTGTATTGTATAGTTGTTGTCGCTTTTTGCTCTTTTTTCTGTGAACTGTTTCCTTTGTTGGTGTTGTTCTCATTGTTTGTCCGTTATTTTTCGATTTTGAGGGGAGCAACCCAAAAAGTCGCTTCTCTCTAAACTTTATCTTAATGTAATCATTCCTTTCTCAGGCGTGAGGCTAGCAACCCCACCCTGTAAACAAAATTGCTACGGAAACTTCAGTACGAAGAACCTCTTTGCACCAAAAGAAAAAGTCTGTGTGGGAACATGGAACGTCCGAACTATGTACGAGACTGGGAAAGCTGCCCAGATCGCCAACGAGATGAAAAGATACGGAATACAAGTGCTGGGAATATGTGAAAGCAGATGGAATGGGAGTGGACTCACCAAATTGTCAACGGGTGAGTCAGTGATCTACTCCGGTCACCCAGAAGATAACCACACGCACACCGAGGGCGTGGCTATCATGATGTCACCAACGGCAACGAAAGCCCTGATACAATGGGAGGCGATTTCGTCCAGGATAATGACCGCCAGATTCAACTCCAAAGGAAGGAAAGTGTCAATCATACAATGTTATGCACCCACAAACAACGCAGACCTCGAAAAGAAAGAAGAATTCTACAGGCAACTACAGGCAACAATGGACAATACTCCAGCTGGCGACATGAAAATACTAATGGGAGACATGAACGCCAAACTGGGACCAGACAATACAGGAAGGGAACTCATCATGGGTAGAGAAGCTCTAGGAGAAATGAATGAAAACGGAGAACTCTTCGCCGACTTCTGCGCCTTCAACGAACTGGTGATTGGTGGCAGTGTATACAAGCACAAAGATATCCACAAGGCTACATGGGTGTCACCAGACGGGCAAACCAAAAACCAAATCGACTTCATCTCAATCTCAAGGAAGTGGAGGCGCAGCCTACTGGACACAAAAGCAAGAAGAGGAGCAGACGTTGGCTCAGACCACTATCTCGTACAAGGGACAATCCAAATCAAATTAAAAGCTTTCAGGGAAACAGGAGCTGCAGATAGACCACAAGCCAAGTTCAACACTCAAAAGCTGAAGGACCAGGCTACAAAGGACATCTTCATTGCAAGCATAAAGGACAAAGCCGAGACACAAATCAACACCAGCGAAAACGTCAGCGTCGAAAAGCACTGGAACAACTTGAAAACGGTGTGGAGCCAAACCTGCATAGAAATTCTAGGCAGAAAAAAGAGACAGGACAAACAGTGGCTCACTACGGACACTTGGAAACTAATAGAAGAGAGAAGGACAGTGAAGCAAAAGATTATCCAGTGCACTGACGAGCAACAAAAACAGGAGCTGAATGCAAGCTACAATACACTGAACAAAAGAGTGAAGAAGTGTGCCAGGGAAGACAAAAGAAAATATTATGAAACCATGGCAAACGAAGCAGAACAAGCTGCAGGCAAAGGAGACCTCGCCACACTCTACCAAACAACTAGGAACCTTTCGGGCAAACGTTCGACACAGATTAAGCCAATAAAGGACGACAATGGAAAGTCAATCACCAAAGAGGTGGAACAGAGAAAGCACTGGGTTGAACACTTCAAAAGACTTCTAAATCGTCCGCCACCTACAACACGTCCAGCAATACCAACAACGGAAGCAGAACTACCAGTGAACACTGACCCTCCGACGAAATCAGAAGTCCTGAATGCAATCAAGATGCTAAAAGCTGGGAAAACACCGGGACCAGATGGAATCCCAGCAGAAGCTTTGAAAATAGACCCAGAGACAACAGCGGACTTGATGACACCACTACTGGAGAAGGTGTGGAAAGAGGGCAAAGTACCCGAGGATTGGAAGAAAGGATACTTATTCAAACTTCCAAAGAAAGGAGACTTAAGTCAATGTAAAAACTGGCGTGGAATTATGCTTCTGTCCATTCCAAGCAAGATACTAAGTCGCATCATCCTGGAGAGAATCAAACAAGCCCTAGATGAAAAACTTCGTCCGGAACAGGCTGGATTCAGGAGAAACAAATCATGTATTGATCAAATCGCCACTCTACGGATCATCATTGAACAAAGCTTGGAATGGCAGTCACCTCTCTATCTCAACTTCATCGACTTTGAAAAGGCCTTCGACAGCGTCGATCGAGAGGTCATTTGGAAACTACTTCGCTACTACGGGGTCCCATCGACAATTATACACCTCATCCAACAGTTATACGACAATGCTGCATGCCAAGTAATCCACAACGGGAAACTTACGGAAGCCTTCGAAGTGAGGACGGGAGTGAGACAAGGCTGTCTACTATCACCAATGATCTTCCTGATTGCAATTGATTGGATAATGCGACAGACAACGGCAACCAACGAGGGAACAGGCATAAAATGGACTGACACAAAAGACTTGGAGGATCTGGATTTCGCCGATGATATATGTCTGATTTCCCACAAACTGGAAGATATGCAAGTGAAAAGTAACAAGTTGGCAGAAGAAGCATCAAAGATAGGACTTCACGTGAACATAGATAAAACAGAGATAATGAAGATTCCTAGCCAACATCAACAACACCAACAGACCACAATAAGCATAAATGGGAAGAACCTGAAAGAAACAACCTCCTTCACCTACCTGGGAAGCATCGTCTCAACTACAGGCGGAACTGACGAGGATATCAAAGCCAGAATCGGAAAAGCGAGACAGGCTTTCATTACTCTTAAGTCTGTGTGGAGGTCAACAGCACTCAGCATCAAAAATAAGATCCGGATTTTCAACTCCAATGTAAAGTCAGTGCTACTATACGGATCAGAGACTTGGCGAGTCATAAAGAGCATCTCAAACAAACTTCAGACCTTCATTAACAGCTGTCTTCGCTCAATACTCAAGATCAGATGACCAGAAAAGATCAGCAACAGGGATCTCTGGGAGCGAACCAATCAGGAACCGATTGTGAGACAAATAGTCAGGAAGAAATGGAGATGGATTGGCCATACGCTGAGGAAACCATCAGGTGACATCACTAGACAAGCCCTCGAGTGGAACCCGAAAGGGAGGCGGCGAGTTGGTCGTCCAAGGGTGACTTGGAGGAGGTCATGCGAGGGGGAGATGAAAGCATGTGGACAGACCTGGAGCGGGGTGAAAAAGTTGTCAGAAAACAGAAGGCAATGGAGGTGCGCAGCTGAAGCCCTACGTTCCTCTAGGAACTAAAGGATACAATAATAATAAATAATCCTTAGGGGGCAAACGAACTTCCACCTTGGAAAATCTGCATTACGAGTTCATATAAGACCATACTTTTCAAAGAAACGTGCAAAAGGACCCGGCAGTCTTAAGCAGTGCTCAATAGACTAAGTGCGTACTTGTAACGCTGCTGCCAATGGAATCGAGGGTGACGTCATCCAGCTAGCTAATACTGATACAGATAGACACATGGAGTCATGCAAGA